ATAATGATTTGTTTAAAAATACTTTCAGGAAATCTCACACTACATATCAATTTTAGAAAGCATTGATAATTTTTTTTAAAAAAATATATAAATTTCAAGAAATTGTTCATAACAATTTCAAAATAATAATAATTATTAGAGAGATAACAACCACCTAACAAAATCATTTGCTTAAAAATTATTTAATAAAAATAATTAAATTTGTTAAATTTAAAACTACTAATTTCATTTAAACTAATTTTAAGTTTAATGTTGTAAAAAAAAATTATTTTTCAGTTTAGAAAAAGGTTTTCTAATATTTTTAAAATGTACATGCTAAATAATAAACGTTTATTGTATGTAACTAAAATTTATAATAAATTATATATATTTATTTATTGATATTTTATTTTAAAAATATTAAAATTTAATTTATAAATAATTATAATAAATAAAAATTAAATTAGATAAAAAAAAAATACCCTAAACGAAGAAAAATCCTTAAAAATATTCTTAGTTTTAATATATAGAAATTGATTATAATATTTTTTAAAAAAAAATTATAATATATAATTTAAGTTTTTTTGAATAATCGAATTTAATTATTTAACACCAGTTATTTTATGTTTCTAGAAAGCCTTTATAACATTTAAAAAAAAATTTAATTTGGTTAAATTGTAATTTTGATCCCTATATTTTTATCATTATGTAATTTTGGTTATTCTATTTTAAATTAGAGATATTTAGTACATCTATTTTTTTTTATAAAAAAATATCGAATTTCAGGACTACTATCAATTTGATATTTATTGATCCTTAAATTTTAACTTTTTTTAGTGACTTTTCACAACTTAAATAACGTGATATTTAATAATGTGACATGTAAAAATAAAAATTAAAAAAGAACATACAAAATATTTTTATTTGTATCTATTTTAACGAGTGATTAATATTTATTTTATTAATAAATCTTATTTGTATGTATTTTTTTTTAGTTTTTTATTTCTAAATGTCATGTTATGACATGTCATATTATTTAGGTATGCGTAAATGTTTTTTTTAGAAGGTATGCGTAAATGTTGCAACTCAATGATGAATGTCAATTTGAGAACATGATCAAAATTTTGTATTTTTAAAATTAGAATAACTAAATATTTTTATTTTAAAATAGAAGAATAAAAATTTCAATTTAGTATTTAAAATTTCAAGAAATTATTTTAAAACAATTTTAAAGTTATAAATACTCACTTGACCTACTATTCTTGATTTCCAAAAATCATTTATAATATTTTTAAAAAAAATTATTTCAAGAAAGCAAATATAACATTTTTCAAATGATTAAAACTATTAACATAACATTTGCAATTCTATACTAATATCTTTTATAATTTTTTTATATTAATTTAACACATTTATTTCTGGTTTCAAAAAATGAATTTATAACATTTCTCAAAGTTGAAAATTTCAAGAAAATATTTATTAATTATTTTTATTTTGGTTATGGTTTAAATTTATTTATTTAATACTAACTATTCCTAGTTTTAAAAATGTATTTATAAATTTTTTTAAAAGTTTGAAACTTTTAGATAAATCTTAAGATAAATATTAAATAATTAAAATTAGTAATTCAACTTCAAAATAAGAGTGAAAAAATTACTGAAAATGATGGAATTACCTTCCAATTTCTAAGTAGAGATGGTGCATTCAATACTCCATTTTATTTATGATTTAGCTTATAAATGCTAATAGTTTTGTTTTTAAAAAGACATGCATTCTTATGCTTAAGGTCGAAAATGAGTTGAACAACAATCAACACTAGCAAGTTGGCGTCTATTTTTCTTTTGAGTAAAAAATTACAGATTATTAATATAATTTAAATTTTTAAGAATTAATATATGTAATTATAATATTATTCTCATGTGTATGTTTTTCTATGCACATATAAATTCATTTCTATAATCTATTAATATAAAAAAAACCTTGTGAATTACAAGGTCCGACTACAAACATAGGATTAGAACTTTGTGATTTCTACACCAACAAAGATTTGCGACGGGATTATTAAACCACTCAACGTGGCTCATGATAAACACACCTCCACTCTCCTATAAGCACACCCCCTTTTAAAAAAAAAATATATAAAATGTCTAAATTACCCTTAAAAAAAAAAATTCCTAAATTTACACCCCTCCTTCCTCGCACCCCCTTCCCCGCAAGCAGAACGGGTCGTACTGCAAGCAGAACGGCCCGTACTGCAAGCAGAACGGCCCGTACTGCTTGCAATACGGCCCGTTCTGTTTTCAGTGCTGGCCGTTCTGCAGCAAAATGGGTCGTACTGTTTTCAGTACGCCCCGTTCTGCAAGCAGTACGTCACGTTCTTCAATCAGTACGGCCCGTTCTCCAAGCAGTACAGGCCGTTCTGCTTGCAGCAAGGGCCGTTCTGGGGCCGTTCTGTTGCAGTACAGGCCACCGCGTCACTTTTAAAATGGCTACCTTATGACTGATTTTAAAACCCCGATTTTAAAAGTTATTTTTGTACTAATCTTTCTTTTCATAGAACAAGTAAGAGTCTTTCTCATACAAAATCACTTGCCGACATTGCGCACCCCTCTTCTTTCTCTTTCTGGCACTCCTCTTCTTCTTCTTCTTACTGTTACGAAAAGTTCTTTCCGGAATTATATAAAAATGTTCCGGAAAATACTTTCCATAATATTAAATTCTTATTCCGGAAAGTATTTTCCGGAAATATTTTGTTATATAATTCCGGAAAGTATTTTCCATAATATTAAAGTTACTATTACGGAAAGTTCTTTCCGGAATTATATGAACAATAATTTCTATTCCGAAAAGTACTTTCCGGAATGCTAATGACTGTAAAAGTACTTTTCGAAATGCTATGACTGTAAAAGAACCTTTCTTATGCTGATTATGGTGGGACTAGTCCTTTTTTTCTATTCAGAATGACTGTAAAAGTATATTGCTTAATAACATTGAGCGGAAAGAGGCTTTGGGAAGAAGAGGGGTGTGAAATGTGGGGTGCGGGGAAGGAGGGTGGGGGAAGGGAGGTGTAAATTTAAGAATTTCATTTTTTTTAAAGGGTAATTTAGACATTTTATATATATTTTTTTAAAAAGGGGGTGTGTTTATATGAGAGTGGAGGTGTGTTTATCACCAGCCCATCTTTAGACCAAAGCAAAACTTAAGGCTACATTAATGGGCCCAATTGCTCAAATAGACTCATGGTAACGGCCCATACCCATCCACATCAACATTATGCACATTATCACCACTCCATATAAATTAAATAAGAGACAGAAAGATTCATATAAAAATGTGATGTAATTTTATTTATTGGTATAGATAATAATAAATGAATAAATCCCTCCACCATTCTCTGATTAGTTCCAAGTCAAGTGAATCTAAGTTCATCCAAATACTTGCACTTGATAATGGACATTAAGAAAGCCCGCTACTACAAAATTTTACCCACTTTATCCGATTTGTGTTGAAAGAGTTGGCCAAGTAATTCACAACCACGTTTACTAACTATAATGATTGATTAATGATCACACACAATGACACAAACATTTGCTAAGCAGATAGAGGACTATTGATACAAATACAATTATTTGGGTGGAAGTCCCAATCCATTGGGTCCATTTACTTTTCACTAGGAAATGTTGCACTATAACCTTTAATTTCGAAAGGGAAATGGGGACGAAGTTCAAAAGGTATCAGGGATCAATTACTTATTTCCAACTCTCACCCTCGAGATACAAAGTGCACGAATTTGATTTGTTACGATAAAGTGAAATATTCTACCCGACTGAGACTGAAAGATGTACACAGGAATAAAGGGTATACAAATCAAAAGTTTAATGTTTTTTCCTCGCTCTACAACCCAATTATATATATCACTCTACAAAGTCTAATCTTGTTGAAAGTAAGATACAAATGAAATGAAAAATTACACTCTTTATTCTACGATCATCCATGCATGTTTTGATCTTTCCGTTTTTCCGTGTAGCGTAGTTTGAAGGCAAGGCTAAGAAAAGGAGCCTATATTATGATGACAACAAACACCTTTAGTTATACCCTGTCTCTTTTAAACCAAAAGCAGTTTTTAATGGAAATTTACGGTTGAGATTAATTTAAAAAATAAATATTACATCATACCTACATATACCAATAGTTATTTTTTCTCTCTAATTAGATGAAAGTGAGTGCGTTTCAATCCTAAGTATTTACACGTACCACGAAAAGTACAAACAAGTTCTTTGTGACATGTATTCCTCCTAAAGATCCCAAGTTTAATCAGTGGTCGTGCAAAGATAAAATATGAGAAAAAAACAACAATAATAGGTGTGGATTATGGTATCCGTGAAGGACGTTCTTCCTTGTTAGAGTAATGAACACAAAATCAATGAATTTTAAGGAACAGGAATAAGAGTAGGGTAGTTTGTCTTCAACCGCATTGTCGTCAACAATGTTTTGTCTTTGAGCTTTTTGATAGCAACCTTAGACGAATATAAATCAACGATGGGTCCAATCTTCTTTATTCTAAAGCAATTATACAAGGCAGATGAGACATTATATGAAAGTATGCATCAGCATAAATACACCACAGGGAAAAAGATAAAAACGGCATTCACGCGTAAGGTTTGTTGCTGAGAAGATTAGTCACAGGAATAGATGCAATAGAAAAGATATCAATACATTGTTTTCCCATTCTTTTAGTAATTATTTACAGCCTCAAGCCAAGAGAAAAAGTATATAAGATAACTGCAAGAATTTGATTCTATCATATTAAATTAAAAATAAAGTGCAAGATCCTTCTAATCTGTGACAGGTGAAGATTAATTTAGATTTATAACATATTTGTCTAGGACTCTTGGCTATTTACAGCCTCAAGAAAAGGGGGATAAAATAAAGCATTTGATACTATCAAAATAAAGTTTCAAGTCAGAGGTTAACGGTGACACTTGACAGGTTTGAGAACAGTAAATGGAAAGAACAAGGGCTGTATAAGAGAGCACATATATCATATATGAATTTTACTTTCTCCTTTGTTCCGTAAACAACATGAAGCGAATATACTAACTGATTGTACAAAAGAAAGAAAGAAAAACAAAGTAGCATAAAAGAAAAAAGAAAAAAATACTCCCGAGACTAAGCTAAAGAAAAAGTTCAACTCCAAAACAAGACATACTCCTAAGTGCAAATACTATGTCTATAAGCTAAGCATTACATAATAAAAGATACTAATGACGCAGTTACACAGAAGTCCTAACTCCATGACCAGCCTCCAATGCTGATTCTGTTGTAGCAGTAGTCTCTTCTTCAGCTTCACCAGACATCTCCTCCAAGGATTTTCCTTTAGATTCAGGCACCAAGAATGTAAACACCATCCCCAAGAAGTTAACCGCACCCAAAATTATAAGGGTATTCCTCACTCCAATGCCATTTTCTGCAAACTGGAAGCCAAAAGCCCCTACCATTGCTCCAGCTTTCCCAGCTGCAGCTGATATGCCATGGCATGTTGACCTTAGCCTTGCAGGGAAAATCTCTGCTGGCACCACAAATGTGGTGGCATTTGGACCAAAATTGGAAAAGAAGAAGGTCAATGAATACATCACAACAAACCCAATATGATTGCCCTTCATGGTCCAGTGGTGGTATGGAATGGCCAATGCAAACATGAACACAGTCATGAAGAAAAACCCCATCAACTGAATTGAAAATCTTCCTATCTTGTCAATGAGTGCCACTGTGAACCAGTAACCAGGGACAGTGCTGCAAAGGGCTATGAGGGTCTGTGCTCTAGCAATTTTGTAAACCTCTTCAATGGCACTCATGGTTTTTGCCTCAGCAATCCAACCTATTGCACTGAAAATGTCCTTCTGGAAAAGATTCTGACTATAATAGGCAATGTCCAAGAGGAACCAAGTGGTGCATGTTCCAACCAGGTGAAGTCCATGTCGGCGAAGGAACTGTGTGGAGAACAAGCCAAATTCATTCCCTCTTTGTGTCTCCGATTGCTGAACTTTCTCCTCTTCTATCTCAACCTGCAACACCTTTGACATGTCTGCAGCTGCTTGTTTAGCATTCTTGGCAACCAAGGCAGTGTACCTTGCAGTCTCAGGCATTTTCATACGCCAATAGTAGGTAAGCAAAGCTGGTAGTGCACCAAACATCAAGATTATCCTCCAAACATAATCAGCTTGTGGCACTGTGGACAAAACCGGGTTAACCTCAAACGCTGGAGCAGGGTAAACTGCGTTGAAAGCAGCTGAAACCACAATTGCAACCATGCCACCAGCCAAAATTCCAAAACCTTGCATGGCGAAAACAGCAGCTATGAATCCTCCACGAGTCTTCTTGTTGGCATACTCAGACATGATAGTTGCTGAAAGAGGGTAGTCACCACCAATGCCAAATCCAAGCCAGAAACGGAAGAAGCAAAGGGTAGCAATAACAGATTTAGGTTCTTTGCCAAAAGAAAGACCAGAAGCTATTGAGCATATCACCATGAGCATAAGGGTCATCCCGTAGACACGTTTCCTTCCCAATTTGTCACCAAGCCAACCAAAGAAAAGTTGGCCTGCAAGGGTTCCACAGAATGCAACACCATTGATTGCAGCAGAAACATTTGATGGCAGAGATCCAGGCTTCTCGGGGCCTTCATAGTAGTATATGCGACCAAGCAATTTGGTGACAAGGGAGATGCAGAACAGATCATAGGCGTCAGTGAAGAAACCCATTCCAGCAACCACAATTGCTGTGAAGTGGTACCATTGTGTCTTCGCTGAATCCAGCGCATTAAGCACTTGCAACTGTTCCCTAGCCATGTTTCTGTGTCTTATGTCACAACCTGGAACATACACAATACAAATGGAGAAGATCAGAAGATAGTAAAATAAATAAACAAGTAAAGCGGTGTTAGACACGGGTGCAGCGTGCACGTGAATGGATTACTTAATGAAAGCAAATAGATGAACCATGAATCCACAGCGAATGCTAAGAAAAACGATGAGGTAATGACAATAAGACAAAATAGGGAGCTACAATTTCCACAACAGTCAATCTGAACAAAACAGGTTTCATAATTTCATTTTCAACATGGGGGCCACGGCTTCTAAAAGTGGGAAAAACCAACTGCACAACATCGTGATCGTTGAAATAATTTTTTCATCATAAACTGCAAAACATCACGAGTCATGGTCCTTAAAATATTCTTTTTCATTGAAATTCAAAAGCATATTATATTTACATACAGCATTTCACTTATACACGGAAAGTCATAGCATGAGACAGGCTTTGGGATTTCAGTTTTTAACATCACGGGGTGCAGCATCAATCTAATATTATTGTTATTCTATTATCAGGTACCAAGTATACTTCAGCCATAGAGGATCACAGTCCTCCATGCCAACAAAGTGAAGCAGATAAAATAAAACATTATTATATTATTAAAGAAGGTTCACGTATAAATATAATATGAATGGTAAACATAAAAGTTTTACGTATAATATAGTACACCTGATGCGAATGAATAAAGAATATTATTTTTCTTGGAAAAGAGTACTCCTCTGATCGAGGGGACACAGTAATCAAATAGCAGAAGCGTCATAAATGTCATCATGTATATTTATAAACTCACTCCAGAAAGTTTATAAAATCAATTCCAAAAAGAAAGAAGCATAAGATACCTGAGAGAGAAGAAAGGGTCTTTGCAGGGAAAAAAGAGAGAACGTGGGATAGTGTTCCTCGTATAAGAATACCAGAGAGAGAGAGAGAAGGAATGTTATGATTGCTGAGAATGGAGGGTATGGTTCCGTATTTAACTGCAGCGGACTCTATCTTCTAGTAAAAGGGCGAAACTAAAAACAAGAATATTTTCGTAAACTTTCCCTCCATCTCATATACCGAATATTGTTTTCTTTTTTTGGCTGAAAACTGTATATTGTTTTTTGTAGTATATCAAGAAAAATGATAATATTTCGACTCTTAAAGATTCACATTTTCCAGCTTTACATTTATCATATATGCTAATTAAATTTTATCAGTATCTGGACTCTTAAAGATTTGCATATCCAAAAGCATATTCTTTGTAGTTACCTAATCGAAGTGTGGTATTAATTGTTTAAATCTCAACTCCCATCTTTTAAAAGATTTTTTCAATTTCAATCTCAACTGCTAAGGTAAGGGTCTGTTTCACTTTAGAAAACATTTTTTTTTATTTTTTAAAAATATTTTTCATTTTTAATTTTAAAATTTAGCAAACTTGTTTGATTTGATTATTTTTAATAAAAGTTTATAAAATAATTTTGATATAAAATTTATAATCAAAATTATAATATATAAATTAGAATAATATTTTATTTTGTAAATATTTCATTATTTTCACTTTATCTTATATGTATTTTCATTTGAATACTCTCTTTTCAAAATAGGTGGATTTCATTATGAAAATATGTAAATGTTTTATATATTTTTTTTATCAAATGAATAATCTGTTATCTAACGATCAGTAATTATATATCTAAATAAAATATATATTTTATCTTTATAAACAATATATATATACCAATTTTTTTCACTATTGTAAATTTAAATGTTTATTTACTTTCCTTATCGTTATTACACATATACTATTTTAATGTATATTCACATTTTCCTTATTATATTTAATAAATAATATTTAATTAAAATAATTAAATAATATAAATAACATATGTAATTAAAATCTTATAGAATAATTATCTAATAAATCTTATAATATTATAATATATATAATACATATGCAGGCAACAAACAAAATTTTTTTTGCGCATAAAAAAAATAAGATAGATCAATTAAATTACATGTATATAAAAAACAATTAAGTCGACTAGTTTATGTGTAAGACTACTAGTTTAGAAGTAGGTTCGTAAAAGAAATTAATAATTATTATCATATATCACCACATTTTCAAAAGTGTAAAAAATGATGAAAATGGCATTTTTTCATTTTTAATTTTGGATTTTTTTTAAATATTAAAAAAAACATTTTTTTAAATTAAAAATAAATATATTGTTGTACTTATTTTCTATTTTCTTTAAAAATAAAAAATGGTTAAACCAAACATGCCTTAAAATCTCACATTTTCGTTATTAAAATGCACATCTCCAATGTTCAATCTTTTAGCCTTTTCCGGTTTGATAAATGATAAGATACAGTTGAAGGATTATCACATTAAAAACAAAATACATGAAGAGGAATTGTCAACCTCCACAAGATAAGGTGTAAAAAAATAAAAATAAAAAATAAAAAATAAAAAATAAAAAATAAAAAACCTCCACAAGATAAAAGACACACGATAAGCAACGACATAGTGAATCAGTGTACATGTAGGATTACAAAAAAAAAAGAAGAAAAAAAAAGACGAGAATAGATAGGGTTTTAATTATAATATCACAATAAGAAATTACAACGTTCCATAAACCTTGAGATCGTAAAACAAATTTCATCTTGACGGCTCAAATATGATAATTTTTACCATTAAACATTGGAATTGCAGGTGAATTGGTGGAAGTAGACATTCTTGCACCAAAAATTATTAACATCATCAGTTATGATTTCCATTTTTTGCGTTGTTGGTTGTTATAGTTAGTTGGTGCAATGCACCTCTATAAATAATTAGCTCTAAACCGAGCTCGAGGATTTTTAAAAAACAATTTCTTGTAATCCTTCTCTCAATTCGATGTACAATTCTTCAGATTCTATTCTTCAGATTCTATTCTTCTATTGGAATTCCTAAAGTTTTGTAGTTCTTCGAATAGTCCCTATTCCTAGAACTACCTTCATCAATGCCATAAATAAATACTCATCTTTATCATCAATTTTTTTTCTTCAATCACGTTTGCCTGTTTTTCCTAATTGTTGTTCAAGTTGGTTCTTCTTTAATTTGTAATATGACCATTTTTATTGCAAAAATTACAATGAAAAAGGGGTTTATCTTTAAACCAATAATCTTTTTCAACATGGTTGGTTCTTTGGCAATGAGAGCAAGGCAAAAAAGTTCATTTTCTCGAAGAACGTTCAACTTTTCTTTTGTTCTTATTGAAAGTTTGTGATTTTCCAAAATTCATTTCATTGTGCTTTACTCAAAAGGCACCTTCAATAGCTTTATCACTTCTAATGGAGACTCTTTTCTCTTGTGCTTGACGCTTGCTGGTCAATTCAATAATTGTAAGAGTTTGCAAATTGCAAGACTCTTCAATTACAGAAATCTTGACTTCAGATTTTTAGGCATGAAACCATTATTTTTTCGACAACCTTACATTTGGTTTACAACATCCATTAACCTGCTAGAATAATCTTTGATAGATTCATTATCCTTTATGTTCATCAATTCAAATTCTCTCTTCAATGTGAGAAGCCTAACATATTTGACTTTGTTATTGTCTTCAAATTCATCTTGAATCTTGTTCACACCTGTTTAAGTGTTCCCAAGTTCATGATTTTAGTAGAAAATATGATTTGCAAGTCCTGCATGACAGGCAAGTGATAGGCTTTATCTTATTTTAGTCCCTCCTCCTCATAAGCTTTGATTTGTGCAATGGTTGGATTTTCTCTCAATAATGGTGGATTAGCTTCAGAAATTACAACGTTCCATAAACCTTGAGATCGTAAAACAAATTTCATCTTGACGGCTCAAATATGATAATTTTTACCATTAAACATTGGAATTGCAGGTGAATTGGTGGAAGTAGACATTCTTGCACCAAAAATTATTTGAACAATAAATCACTCAATTTAACACTCAACCTTATTGTGTTTATCGCTCAATAAAAATTTTCCTCAACCCGTAGGAAGCAAGCTCTTGATATTGCTATTGGAAATATTTTGTGAAAAATATAGAAAAATTGGAACTTGCAGGAAAATTGAAATTAAAATTGAAGATGGAAAATTATCATAAAAATTCATAGAAGAGGATGCTATGTATTGGCTTACAATGAATTTAAAATTTCTAATAAATCTCATCTACTAACAACTCTACTTGTTGAAATTCTATAGAATAACTGAAAACAAAATATAAAAGATAAAATCATAACAATAACAAATAATTTATATAAAATTTATTCAAAATTCAAAATTTAAATTTGAAATTAATATCTAACGTTTTATATGTTCCTGATATTAATCAAAATTTGTTGAGTGTTGCTCAGTTGTTAGGAAAAGGCTATAAAGTGTTATTTGAAGATAAAAATTGTGTGATTAAAGATATACACAACAAAGAAGTATTTAATGTCCATATGAAAGGTAAGAGTTTTGCTTTAAATTTGGAGAAGGAGGAATCAATTATAAATGAAGACACAAGTGAAGAGCACAAAGATGCATATCTTCAAAAGAAGTTTGATGATCAAGAGGAGAATGAAGATGATGAAAAACCACCTTCAAAAGAGAAGTTCAAGACAAATGCTAAAGTGGTCCCACTCAAGAAGGATTGCAACAAAAATCACAAAAAGAAGAAACTGTTCAAAAAGAGAAAAGGCATATCTTGAAATTCAAATTAGGTGATAAAGATATTCAGTCAAGGAGGAATGTTGGGAATATGCCTAAATATCTTTAGAAGAATAAATTAGTTTTTTGATAAGAATATTTTATTTATATTTCAAATATTTAAATTTAATCTGTTTTGATTATTTTAGGATTTGTTATTCCTTATTTTTAGAATAGGATAATATCAATATTTGATTTTGTATAACAAATTTTCTCTATAAATAGAGACTCGTGAATAAAATTATATTATGCTCCTCTGATAAAAAATAAGTCTTATAAAATATCCTCTCAAACAAATACTATACAATAACATCATCAGTTATGATTTCCATTTTTTGCGTTGTTGGTTGTTATAGTTAGTTGGTGCAATGCACCTCTATAAATAATTAGCTCTAAACCGAGCTCGAGGATTTTTAAAAAACAATTTCTTGTAATCCTTCTCTCAATTCGATGTACAATTCTTCAGATTCTATTCTTCAGATTCTATTCTTCTATTGGAATTCCTAAAGTTTTGTAGTTCTTCGAATAGTCCCTATTCCTAGAACTACCTTCATCAATGCCATAAATAAATACTCATCTTTATCATCAATTTTTTTTCTTCAATCACGTTTGCCTGTTTTTCCTAATTGTTGTTCAAGTTGGTTCTTCTTTAATTTGTAATATGACCATTTTTATTGCAAAAATTACAATGAAAAAGGGGTTTATCTTTAAACCAATAATCTTTTTCAACATGGTTGGTTCTTTGGCAATGAGAGCAAGGCAAAAAAGTTCATTTTCTCGAAGAACGTTCAACTTTTCTTTTGTTCTTATTGAAAGTTTGTGATTTTCCAAAATTCATTTCATTGTGCTTTACTCAAAAGGCACCTTCAATAGCTTTATCACTTCTAATGGAGACTCTTTTCTCTTGTGCTTGACGCTTGCTGGTCAATTCAATAATTGTAAGAGTTTGCAAATTGCAAGACTCTTCAATTACAGAAATCTTGACTTCAGATTTTTAGGCATGAAACCATTATTTTTTCGACAACCTTACATTTGGTTTACAACATCCATTAACCTGCTAGAATAATCTTTGATAGATTCATTATCCTTTATGTTCATCAATTCAAATTCTCTCTTCAATGTGAGAAGCCTAACATATTTGACTTTGTTATTGTCTTCAAATTCATCTTGAATCTTGTTCACACCTGTTTAAGTGTTCCCAAGTTCATGATTTTAGTAGAAAATATGATTTGCAAGTCCTGCATGACAGGCAAGTGATAGGCTTTATCTTATTTTAGTCCCTCCTCCTCATAAGCTTTGATTTGTGCAATGGTTGGATTTTCTCT